ACGAGTTCATGGTAATGCCTTTCGGATTGACAAATGGCCCTGCGACGTTCCAACGGTCAATGAATGAATTGTTTCGTCAATGGTTGGATCACTTCGTTATTGTCTATCTCGATAATATTCTAATGTATAGTAAAACACTAGAAGATCACGACAAGCATCTCCGTCTAGTTCTAGGAAAGTTGCGAGAGGGCAACTTCAAAACAAACCCAAAGAAGCCAAAGTTCGCTAAGTCTGAAGTCGTATATTTAGGACATAGTGAACGAAGATGGCCTAAGGCCAGAAGAAAAGAAATATCAGCAATTCGAGATTGACCACGGCCTAAGTTTGTAACCGAACTACGATCTTTCCTTGGTTTGGCAAGCTACTATAGAAAGTTCATTAGGAACTTCTCACTGATTGCCGCTCCAATGAGAAGATTGTTAAAGAAAGGCACTATCTGGTTGTGAGACCAAGACTGTGAGTTTTCCTTCAAGAAGATAAAATATGCTTTGACTCACTATCTAAAAATTGTTGATCCGTCACTGCCCTTCATTGTCACTACCAATGCAAGTCAGTACGCGATTGGCGCAGTCCTTCAACAGTACGATGTTAAGGGTTATAGACCCATCGAATTTATGTCTCCACGATTACCATCGGAAAAGGTCGATAACTCCACTTTTGAAAGGGAATTATATGCCTTAGTCTGTGCGTTGGAAACATGAAAGCACTACTTGTTAGGGAGACACTTCACTGTGTACTCGGACCACTCGACACTGAAGTGGATAAAGACAACCTAAACTCTCTTATAAGCTAGTACAGCGGTCTTGATTTATTGATACTTCTGATTTTGAGTTCAAAACTAATGTGGTAGCAGATGCGTTGTCCAGACGATGTGATTTCTTTGGTACTATTGTCTCTTTACATAGATGTTGGGAATGATTTGAAAGATAAAATTCGTCAAGGATATGCTACTGACCCTATCTGAAAGCCTATCATGAATGTCCTTGCGAAAGACCCAACTTTACTTCCCAACTATATAGTAACCGATGGTTTGCTTTTCTTGCTAGACAAAATTGAACAAAAATTGTATATTCCCCACAAGGAAGAAATCAAAAGTCTGCTGATTGGGGAATGTCACGACACTGAGGGACATTTTTTTGGTTTAAAGAAAACTTACGTTGAAGTTAGGGAACGCTTTGATTGGAAGGGATTGAAAGAGGACGTACTAACTTATGTTCGCACACGCCTGGTGTGCCAGAGAAACAAACCTTCTTCTGAAACCATTACCGATTCCCCGTGAACCAGGTGAGTCCATTTCGATTGATTTTATGAGTCTCACCAAAAGCCGCAATGGCAACAACCAAGTAATGGTTATTGTGGATCGTTTCTCTAAATACACCATGTTTATTCCCTTACCTACAGAAGCGCGAACTGAACTTGTCATTCAAAAGTTTCAGATGCGATGGGTGACGGAGTATGGTTCTCCTGAGTCTATTGTGTCTGATCGCGATGTCAGGTTTCCAAGTATGCCATGGCAAAAACTTATGGAAGCATATGGCACATGATTGACCATGTCGTCAGGACGACATCCTGAAATGAATGGCCAGACTGAGCAGATGAACCCTCTGTGCCAACACTTTTTGCGCATGTATGTGAGACCCGATCAGATTGATTGGGATGAAAACTTACCCAAGATTGCAAGTGCATATAATAATAGTGTTCATACTGCTACAGGGCGTACACCTAATGCACTGCATAAGGGGTGGAAGCCTAAGCGTCCCATTGATGTGTTCACATGGGACCAATTTCTAAGGTTACCTCCAGGGACCCGAGAATATGTAGTATTGTTTCAAGAAGACATCAAGAAAGCAAAGGAGAATCTGAAGAAAGCTCAGGCCCAAATGATTCAACAAGCTAACAAGCATCCTCGACCATCTACATTCAAGGAAGGTGATCTAGTCTGGGTCAAGTCCAAAGAGTTTTCATTGGAAGAAGATGTCTCAAAAATTGTTGCCTGTCTATTTTGGACTTTGGGAAGTTCTCAAAGTGATTGGGGATTTGGAGGGACCATCTTATCGTATTGATATTCCCCCACACCTCAAAACGTATCCTGTCTTTCACGCGTCCAAACTATTACCCTATGTAGAAGGAAAAGAGTTCCCAAACAGATCATCTATGATTCCGCCATCAATGGAAGGCACGTATGAAGTAGATCGGATCATAGAACATGGATTCTTTTCTACAGGAGGACGCGGACGACCACAAAAGCAGTTCAAGGCACGTTTCAAGTCTCAGTCTCCGTTTAAGGACAGATGGTTTAGTAAAAGAGAATTACTTGAAACTGCTCCTCACATTGTGTCTACTTATGAACGTGGGTTAAGGTCTTAATTATTTTTGCGATGGAACTCGAAAATGGGTCGGCAGGAATACAATAACCCGTGTTCCGCAGCAGTCTGGGAGCCCGAAACTGTGCCCAGACGACACAGACCAAACACGGCCTGCACCAGGCAATGCGACCACGCACTGCCCCTAGAAAATCAAGGGTCCAAGTCAACTGTCAGGTCAAAGGTACCGCGCCCAAGCCCTTGGTCGGATTCACTCACTTGTTGTGCGCAGGTACCCAGACAGCATCAAGGCCACAAGGAATTCTGTTGCAGGCCAATCTTGGTCGTCATTTGCGTTGAGATCTCGACGCTGAGGGATGCAGCACCTGGGGTCCAGTCAACGCTACATAAGCGTTGACCTCCTGGCTTCGAAGGACATTTTGTCTTGCGTCAATGTCGAATCCACGCATTGACGACGACGCTAGCATGACGTTGGCTGGACGCTGGCTCAACGCTGGCAACTAGGCGAACTACGGCGACACTCTACTGGCTCGGCATGGTGGCTGGCTTGCAATTGTCTTCTGGGCATGTTGACGTGGCAGCTGCCACGCGCCACAGCTGACGTGGCCGCTGCCATGTATATTATTATTGTTGACATAGCCTCGAGAGAGAGAGAGACCCACCCGGCCCGACAATCCAGTGTAGTACGTGTTTCGATCAGTTTTGAGGGAGGAGGGAACTTGAGGGGGAGGGTGGAAGCCCGCGCGCGCGCGCGCGCGCGCGCGCGCGAGAGAGAGAGAGAGAGAGAGAGAGACCCACCCAGCCCGACAATCCAGTGTAGTATGTGTTCCGATCAGTTTCATATCTGATCCGTGGTCCATCGAGACTCGCAAAAAAAAGAAAAAGGCACACACACACACACACACACACACACACACACCCGCGCGCACACAGATCCGAAAACGGGATGGAGGCTGCATGGGCGGAGAAGAGTCTCGAGGTGGCAGCTGGTCAAGGCGGCCGAGGAAGAGCGGAGAGGAGAAGTGGAGGCGCTGTAGTGGAATAGGGTTGCCGAGGAGATGAGGAGGAACGGTGGAGGGGAGGGCCCCTCTCTCTCTCTCTCTCTCTCTCACACACACACACACACACACACACACACACTCACACACACCAGCGCGCACACAGATTCGAAAACGGGATGGAGGCTGCATGGGCGGAGAAGAGAGTCGAGGTGGCAGCTGGTCAGGGCGGCCGAGGAAGCGCGGAGAGGAGAAGGGGAGGCGCTGTAGTGGAATAGGGTTGCGGAGGAGATGAGGAGGAACGGTGGAGGGGAGGGGGCTGGGTGGTTGGAGGAGTCAGGTGGCGTAGGAGCAGCGGAGGGCGAACGAAGACAGGGGAGGGGGGGGGAAGTGGTTAGGGGAGAGAGCCATGCCATTGACCTGAGGGTCCCATCTTGCAGCAGCATTCAGTCGATGACAACTACTCCACCACACCTCAATCTTGGCCCACCACAGCTCACGGCGGCACCTGGCCAACCTTAGGTGAGAGGGAGCAGGGATAGTGTGTGTGCGTGTGTGTGTGTTGTCATGTTTGCTATACAACTCCATTAAAATAGCATGACTGTGGCAGACTGTTTCGTCGGGCTTTCACTGACTCATCAGGAGGTTGAACCCTAACAGTCTGCCCAGAGTGAAAGAGAGAAGCAGCGAGTGAGAGAGAGAGAGTTGGGCGCTGTGCAGCAAGAAGCAGGGCATACACAACACGGCCCGAGGCAGTACCCAGCACGTACTACGGCAAACAACATGGACACGTCGGGGCAAAGCGCAATAAAATATGGCGCGATGCGGTTGGAACCGACAATGGCAAAGTGAGGTACCCGAAGTTGCCTGTGAACGCCCCGAGGTGCTGGGCCGAGGGCCTGGATCTACACGCACGGCACTTGGCTCCGGTAATACTTCACAGCACTCCGCGGCGCATCTATCTGTGAAAGGCACTCTGAGGCGTGTCGATCTGAACCATCAGTACGGACCGACGGCCTGGATCTCGGCGTGGTCCTAAGATCTTAAGACCGCATCTATCCAGGCCGTCGGTCTGGTAGGACCCGACGGCCCAGATGGTAGATTTGGTTAGGTCGATCTGGGCTGTGGGCCGGTAGGACTGATGACGGCCCGGATTTCAGATTTGTCACGTTAGCGATTTTAATAGTGTAGGGACAAGAGGGTCGAACTTGTCTGCCTGTCTGCAAACGCAGCTATGTATATTATGATGAATGTGTGGAAAATTGAAAATCCAATATCAGCATCGATCTTACCATTTGATAAGTATCAGCACCTATGCAATCCTGGATATTAGTAAAAGACTAAAAGTCCATAAAGCAGATGAAGCAAGCAGAGAAGACTGCAAGCAGATCTGCAAGGAGAGAAGACCGCAAGCAGACACAAGGAGAGAAGACAGCAAGCAGACACAAGAAGAGAGGGCTGCAAGCCTTCTTCTTCCAGGCTTTTAACATGACAACTTCGATTTCAGCTTGAATATCCGACCACAACTGTGAACTTGTATGCAAAACCAAGCATCCTAGCTATATGGGAAGACGGCCTACCAAGGGATGGCCACCATGTGGTTGAGCCCTTGGAGAAGGCCAGTATTTCAAGTGCTGGGAGAGAGGTCACAGCCCTAAATGCATTTGTCGATACATACCATCTCTGATGCCAATTGCTTCGATTTCTACACTGTCAGCAGCTGTAACCATCTCTCCCTTCACTCCACTCCAATCACTCTTGAAAAGGGTGAAGTCCATTCCCTGTGAGAACTGAGGTGGTGAGGGCCATTTTGCCTTCCCAAGTGCTGTTGCCGTTAACAAGCCCTTGCAATCGCCAACTGTGCACCACATTTCTACGTCAACAGGCTCTTTCTCCAAAACAACAGTACCGCCCTGGACAGAAAACAGCACAAAATAGATCCAGCACGACCCGCTCAATTCCGGTGGTGTCACATCCCATCAGCACAATCCATGTTTGAAAAAGGCTTCATCCCACTTCATCCAATAAGGTTTGTCTCAAGCAGAAGGTTTATAACAAGGACATTGAAGCACCACAAAGGCATGGAAGCTACACAGAACCAACCATTCAATTCAGCAAGTGCAATGCACACGTGTGATCTTATTCGTGCTTTTTTACATCATTGAGCTGGGTTAAGTCTACAGCCACAAGAAACAAACTAGAAAATTATGCTGTTATGGTGTTATCATCACAATAGAGAAACAAATATCACTGAAGTATGGTCTTATGATGTCTGATGAAAATAGCAAGCCAGTATCTAAATAATTATGTTGTTATCATGTCTGATGAGAACAGCAACCACTGTTGCAATCAGACTTGTCTTTCCCAACACTCAGCATGCGTACAAACAGATGACGATCAAGCTGGCGACTTGACCTTTCGGTACTGTTGCAGCTACGGCCCCTACCACTGCTAAGACTGCTAATCTACGAACCTACTGTTCAAGACCCGACGACCACCCTGCTTACAGCAAACAAACAGGCGACTTTCAAGACACAGGTCGCGGGTTCAAGCACACAAGGGTCAACTGGCACTGTACACGGGTAAGGGCGAGGTCCGGGGATCGAGGCCTGGGAACTGCATCTGCTACCGCAAAGGTGAAAACTGTTTCACTGTAGTTAATGAAGTATTAGAGTTACATACATGAGTCATAACACTGCTCACACACAAACGAACACAGAGGCAGACCCAGGCACTTAGTTACGTTACGCATGGAAAGTGGGAGGAAAAAGCCTGCCCAGTTGGCTTCACGGAGGACTTGGGAATCATCCCGCCTGAAGAAGTGGAGATCATAACCGGCACAGGGAATGGGGGTGTGGACTGCCCACGCATGCACACATTAGGACCCCACTCTCATGCAAGAATCGACTGTTAAAATGAATGTACATCCAAGAAAGTGTCAGCAGCAAACTGGATTTCAAATTGCTTATTCACTTTTAAGCCAGATGACAGATGTCACAATAACAGTGTGAGGTAGGCCCCAAACAACATCTTGGACTCAGATAATTTCACTACAGGACAGCAGAAATTACATCTGATGATCCCTACACTATAAAAATCATTAAGGTAACGAATCTCGAACCAGGGCCATCCGCAGGGCCCGGACTGTTGCAAGATTGTAACAAATATCCAATCGCGGCTTTTGCATCCTGCCGGCTCTACTCTGGGACCACGCCGTCCGCCTGGTACCACTGGACCAACGTCCCTGAAGGTTCTACTGTCGCCCTCCTATACAGTAGCGGTAGGCCCAACCACCACCCTACCGGTAAGCCTACCATCGATAGGATGAGCAACCCACCGGCCAACAGGTAAGTCTCCAGCCCCGCGCCTGGCCTCACGCTACTTCCATCGATAGAATGAGCAAAATCAAATCAATCTTCCACTAGAACTTTGAAACGTACACCACTACACACTTGCGTGTTTGTGTGTGTGTGCGTGTGTGTGTGTCTATGTGTGTGTGTGTGGGTGGGTGGGTGGGTGGGTGGATGGGTGTGTGCGTGTGTGTGTGTCTATGTGTGTGTGTGTGTGTGTGTGTGTGTGTGTGTGTGTGTGTGTGTGTGTGTGTGTGTGAGAGAGAGAGAGAGAGTTTTCCAGACATGCACTCAGAGAGGTAGAGAGAGGGTACTTCCATCGATAGGATGAGCAAAGTCAGAATGAATCAGACACACACACACACACACATACGTGTAGTAGTGTATATTTCGATGTTCTAGCAATAGATTTTGCTCATCCACACACGTGTAGTAGTGCATATTTCGATGTTCTAGCGGTAGATTCATTTGATTTTGCTTATCCTGTCGATGGAAATACTCTCTCTCTATTTCTCTGCGTGCATGGCTGGAAAACTCTCTCTGTCTCTCTCTGTCTCTCTCTGTCTGTCTCTCTCTCTCTCTCCCTCCCTCCCTCTCAAGTGTGGCAGTGTATATTTTCATGTTCTAGCAGTAGATTTGTTCGATTTTGCTCATCCTATCGAGTGAAGTACCCTCTCTCTCACTCTCGTGTGGCAGGGTATATTTTCATGTTCTAGCGGTAGATTCGTTCGATTTTGAATCATCCTATCGAACAAAGTACTCTCTCTCTCTCTCTCTCTCTCTCTCTCTCTCTCTCGTGTGGCAGTGTATATTTTCATATTCCAGCGGTAGATTCGTTCAATTTTGCTCATCCTATCGAACGAAGTACCCTCTCTCTCTCTCTCTCTCTCTCTCTCTCTCTCTCTCTCTCTCTCTCTCTCTCTCTCACACACACACACACATATACTTTTGTATATAATTCTGTATATATATTTGCATGCTTATATTTTATAGACCAAAGACTTTCTACTCAAGGGCTTTAAATGGGGCCCCTGGACCCTCACTATGCCGGATTTTTTGTTCTCCCCAAATCCCCGGTATCCTCTAGACGGGCCTGTCCCGCGCAACCCTTGGTCCCAACCCTCGCCAGGCATCGATTTTGCGTCTGGCTCTGTCCTGGAAAATGAGATCGCGTTTTCTACGGCCCAATTCTGAAATGGTACCTTCGACCATCCCGCTTTTTTCGGAATTTAAACTGAGTGGGCGCGTGACCATTCCCTCTCACTTCGACGCCACGCAACAGTGAGTGCGTTGTCTGGGCAGCTTCGCCTTGGCGATCTGCGCGGATACGCTCTCACGTTGTGTTCCGCCACTTCGATTGCAAGTTGGCCTTGCTTCATGATAGCTTCGGCCGTCATGGTTGGGTGACTGCCATCGCTCCTGTGCCATCTCCATCCATCCTTTGGGACCATGAGCCCGCGGCTTGGCTGAGTATCTCTGCCTAGGTTACCGCCTCGACGATCCTGTGTTCTTCACTGCTGCTTTGCGACATTCTCTGTGGATTGATCCTGTGGGTTACGTGGCGAGTTTCAACTGGGCAGCCCATCATCCTCGTTTTCCTCTCCTTTCCCTTGACGTGATTCCATGGCGGCGGCTCCGTCGAGTTCAGCAGCGGTAACGAATCATGTTTTCCCTTGCCCCTCCACCCACCTCCTGCCCTCCACCTCTCCCCTTGCGTTTTCCTCTTCCATATCCAAAGCCTAAAGTTGCCATGCTCCTGTTTTCCTCTTGCCCCTCCACCCTCCCCCTGCCCTTCACCTCTCTCCTCGCATTTCCCTCTTCCATTTCCAAGCCTTTCTCCTTATTCCTCTCCTCTCTTTCCCATTTCGGAACGACAACCGAGGGGCATCTCTCCCCTGATGAGCCAGTATAGCGGGCGCTGGCAAAAAAGCTTTTGGGAATGTTCTGCTAACCCCTTGTTTTTGGTTGCATCGACACTCTGGGGTCGCTTGGCCAATCTGGGAACTCTTTATCACCTACCTTCCTCTCCGATTGGTCATTTGTTCTTATTACCTTTGTATCCCCCAGGGGCCTTGATGGGAAATCCTAACGTCTTGCACAATATGTGTGTTATGTGTTTGTTGTTGCTGCGTGGTGTGCTTGGCTGACGAAGGAGATGCTGTCCAAATCTGACCTTCAATAGCCACGTTGCCATTGCGACTGCTCCATGAGCTTTTCAAGCGTTTGCATCGGGATCGTCACGATTCTTTGTTTATTCCTGGCTTCTCTGGCTTTCCTAAGCTTTCTTGATTCTCTTGATAATCGCCGCTCCCCGTTTTGTACCCCCTGTGGGGTCAACGCCTCCAACATCCTCGCTCGCCCTAGGTGCCCTAGTGGCTTGTCTTCAGCATGAAGTTCCCCTTCTGCTCTCCGTCTTTCTTCTCCATCATTTGTATCTGCATACTCTCCGCTATCTTTACTATTTTCTTTATTCTGGATCTAAGTCAGTCTTTGCCCCCTCCTCTACCTCAATGTCCCTCCATGGACTCTTCTATTCATCCCCACTCCATGCATCTTCCATCTCTGTTTATACTTGGTGTCATAGCGATCCTCACTCTCTTCTTAGCCTTCACGCTTGCATTAAGAGTGCTTTGGAGTAGCCTTCTTTCTCTTAATGCATTCTACCCCTTCTACCCCCCCTAGTTTAGAATTTTGCCAATGCTGGGCTGATACCCTGCGCTCGTCTAAGTGGATCTTGTGTTAGGGGTAATCTTGGGCTCCGTTTCGTTCGACCTTGGGTTATCAATTGTCAGTAGTTCTTTTGGCGTGGCAATATGGAGCAGTGTTTGCATCGTTTCGTATCTTCTTGGTCAGGCCAACAAGCGGCTGTGGATTCATTCATCTTTAGATTATGAGGTTGGGCTGTGGCGCTTTCCAGGGAGCGCGATTTAGTATTTCTTGTTGGGACGGACCGGATACATTGTGCTTTCGGGCAGTTTGATGACCTATGTTCTATTCGATGGCCTTGGTATCAATGTAATTTGGGAACATTTCTGGAAGACGGGGAGGGGTCCTTTGTGCGTACGAAAAGTGGGCTCGGTTAATATTTGGTGCTCTTGTTGGAAAGATTTGGGTAGATTTCCATGAGTATTGATTGTCCCTAGGTACAAAGGTGTTTCCGTAGCTCTGTGAGCAACATCACTCTTGTAGGACGTACCTTCTTGCTGAAGGCTTTTTTTATCGCGAAATAAATGGGGCTCGCGTCATAAGTCGACTTCGTCCGATATTCCAAAAGTAGCTGCCTGTCTGTAACTGCGATTAACTCTGCAGTTTTTTTTGGGTTTTTCAGCCAGACATGGCTTGAACGCAGGGATTATTATTGTGCCGGAGTTTATACGGATGAAATGATCTCAGTTGTTTTGCTGCCGTGTGAAATTTAAGAGTTTTTTTCAAACGTTTTGGAGCCCTCGGCTGCGATTGGAATTCCCTTACGTAATCTTTGTCTCTCGTTCGATTGTCACCATATCCTGTTGTATATCGTTCAAAATAATGAGCTATGACGCCTGTATCTCTCTCCGTATGTA